AAGATAAGACAAAAGATTGGTTTCAAGAGTGTTGGAATCCAAACTACCGAGAAATTACCTTGTAGCACATCTGCACCTGATTGCCAGCAATCCAACCAGCACCACACATAAACTAAAAAATCTGGGATCAAAATATTTGCTTTAAGTAACCTAACGATCAGTATTCTTATCGTTTTTAGCAGAAATCAGACAGATTTAACAGCGGAAAACTATTTTGTCAAGCCCTAAATTTGGGCTGGGAAACCCGCAATTTTATGTCTTTTTAATAAAACGTTGCAAAACGTAGAAAACAGTAGATCATAAGTCTCATTTAGATCATAAAGAATGCAGCTTAAGGAAAAATTCGGATCCAAAAAACCGGAAATCGAATTTTTTGCACAAAATTCGGCTCGCGAAGCTGGTTTTTTTTCGGAGCGTTTGGGCGTTTGTGACGTTTTGGGCTTTTAATCGGTTTTTGGTAGCCAAAAATAACCTGCGGTGGCTTGGTGGTTGTTGATACTGGCGGCGGCACAGTCAAGCAGGTGCCGGTCTCCTCGAAACAGCCATTCTCCGCCAACGCCAACCCCTGCGAGCTGTTCAGATACACGAAATCAGGCTCCGCCATGCCGGCAATAGCGGAAAAGCATTGCTGCGTCGTCTGTCCTGTCGTTTCATTCACAGTGGTCTCGACAACAACTCCTAGGCAGACGCTCGATCTGCTGACACAACTTAGGAAGCACTGGTACGTCGGCTGATCGGCCGTGTTCCCGGGTACGCGGACAAAGTAGTTGCTCTTGCTAACGGATGAGACCGATGCCAGTGCGTAGACGCTTACGACATACAATAATAGAAATGTAACATGCATCGCCGCGAATTTCCAGTGTGGAGTGGGCGAGGAAAACCCGAAATTCCCTTGCACCCAGCAGTCACCTGGCAACAACAACCTGGCAGTGTTCGGTAATTTTTTCGAAACCTCAACGTTACCTCACACTTTACGTGTGCTTTGGTTGTTCATGGTAACTAGTGTCCCCGCAGTTACATATTTTATTTATGCATTAGTTTGTTCCGCTTTATTGAAACAAGGGACGCTTCATCTCTTCGGCTTCTCGCAAATGCTACGCTCTCCAGCCGCATCGCAGCGTATGTCATTCCAAATCCCCGAATTTGCGCGGCCTTGAAGGATAAATATCTAGAAAATCGAGGTTGTATTACATGTTTAATGGCTACAGGCGGAAAGGAAAACATTGGCGGTAAAATTTACCTCTAGACAATTCTCGATTCCCCCGGTATTCGTCATCTGCCCAGCTCCATAGTTATTATATGTAATGTTGGTCCCGTCTAGCCATTGGAAATCGAGTGATCCGGTGCCTATCTGAAAAGACCGAGAGAGACAGAGAGAAAGGGAGAAAGAGAGAGAGAGAGAAAGAGAGAGAGAGAAGCGTGACATAGGATAAAGTATTACCCGCTGTGCCGCAATATAAAAGTTTCCCTGAGCCGCCGTACTGTTTGTCCAGAGATCTGAAATGTGTGTAGGTTCATGCTTGTTTTAAACCAAAGCTTTGAAACCATAGGCTTGATTTGTCATGAAAAAGGCATTAATCATAGTTACGAACCAGTGTGTATCAGATTTAACTCACCCATTATAGCCTGATTCTCCTCGGCGGATCGAATTATTGTCACCGTTGAGTTCATACTGGCGCATGCAGCTACTGCTTGGTTTATCGTGCCTGCTCCAAGGAACTTAACAACTGTGTGGAATAATAAATTCCAAAGATTTCGTTACATTTCAATCCTACCTTATATAATTTTGGCGTGTATCTCTGTGTGTGTGTGTGTCCGGCTGACACTTTCGAGGCCCGATTTGAGGGCTTTCCCGTGTTCAAAACGCCCCAATCCTCCGTCACCCGGGGGAATCGACCCTCCTCTTTCCAATGGCGTTTTCAGAATCGCGATAAAATACACGTTTACAAAGTTAAAGCCGGTTTTACTAAATTTTGGGGCGTCGGAGAGCTAATTTGCATAATGTGGAAAAATAGAAATTTCCTCATTCTTGCCAGTTGCACTCGCGAATTTGGCCGGGGGGAGGGGAGGGTCCGAAGGACCCGAGCAACCGGAAAGTCAAATTTCTCATGCAAAAGGCCTGATTCCAGCGCCCAAGGCCCGCGAAGCGGGTTTTGGGCGCTGGTCACTTAATAATCAAACAAAGAGTTTGTTTCCAGCCAAATCAGTTACCTTATAGCATTTATCTACCGTATTCGTCGAGCTAGACCCCAAGTCGCAGGGGCTCTAAAAACGAAAAGGAAATTTATAAGGCCGATTATAGGTGCGGGGCTATGGAAGAAAAACGCATTAATAAAACGATACCTGCGCCGGATCGCTATATTCACAGGTCCCAGCGCTGAATTGAGCTTGGCTCGCTGCTGCGTTCCCGGAGGTACTATTCATAAACAAATAATCTGGGTCCCCATCGGTAGGGCCATATATTTGGCAGGTGCTATCTAAAATTTATTACGTTGAATAATCTGTCATGATACCGTGCTTACTTATATATCGGTCCCACAATATTAACATACCCTCTATTACAAGGACTTGCCGGAGTAAAATCAGTCAAAAATTCATCATACAATTCGAAAAAATGTGGATAGGAGTTTTGCGTATATTTTAGATCTATTCTTATGAAGATCTTTTGAAAACCAAAAACCGGCGAAACCAGAGGGATCGCCCAAATCCATTAATTTACCTATTTGGGTACTTTGGGCAAGTGAAAAACACGTAAGATTACTTACCGATACCCTTACAATCTTCGCCTTGCCTCGCACACTGTTGGAAGCAAGTATCAGCCGGCTGAATTATTGTTCGACATGGCCACCTCATAAAATAGTTTTGTGCTGTGCTGATCGATAACATGGATGAGAATACAAGAGAAAAGATGAGGTGGTCCATGCTTTTTCAGGGCCTCCGATTGCAAGGGCCATTTGGCCCTTATCCATATGTCTTTCCCACGCTGTCGTCATGGTTGTCCGAATGAAAATCAGGATCACTATAAATCGGGCATGCGGTTTCTAGGTGTAATGCGTACTTAATCTACCACTGTGCCCTTTAATAGCTTTTTTATCGCTACGGGAATTTATAGCCTTTGAATAAGTTAAAAGATAACCAAGCCATTCGTTTTCAAAAGTGTAATAAAATTTTTCTTTAATTGAGACCCATCTTAATCAATTAATTTATTTTTCCTCTTTGGACATTATATTTCACTATGGCTCCGATTCTCGTTGATTTTTCGGGGTTTTTTTTGTGCAAAGAGATAATTATTTTTTGTATATATCAATAGGGTAGTTTGAGAAGTTTTGTTAAACACCATTCGTATTAGATTTATTTTATTCTCTTGAAGTTCACATAAGGTGTGGTCAATTCATTCATCTCTTCGGCTTTTCGCAAACACCAATCTCCACAGTGCCATCGCACCGCACATCGTTCCAAACACCAGAATCAGATCGCCCGCGGCCGATAAATAGCTGAAGCGAGGAGGGAGGTAAAAGTATGATTTTTAAGGAACTATTAGCTGTTTTTTTTCGCAACGACCGACCTCCAAACAATTCTCGATGCCTCCAGAATTCGTCATCTGCGCGAGTGCGTAACTGTTATATGTAATATTTGTCCCGTCTAGCCACTCGAAGTCGAGTTTTCCACTGCCTGTCTAAAAGCAAATTTCCCAATTAAAGTTTCGGTTTTACTCGCCGAGCTCCGAGATATATCTTGACTGTGGCAGCGATGGTGTTCGTCCAAATATCTAAAAACTGTCTTCGAATTATTGATATCCTCGACGTTTCTCTCTCACTCTCTCTATCGCTCTTTTTCTCTCTCGCTCTCTCCCCCTCTCTCCCCCTCTCTCTCCATCTCTCTCCCTCTCACTCTCTTCTCTCTCCGACCATTCACCCATCAAAGCCTGATTCTCCTCAGCCGAACGGATCATCGTCACGACCGAGTTCAGCTGCTCGCATTGAGTTATTGATCGATTTAACGTGCTTTTACCCAAGAACTGAAAAGCTAACTGTTTAGCTCTTTTCACGCACACAGTATACCTTATAACACTTATCTGTAGTGTCAGTCCAGCTCCACCCAAAATCACAGGGGCTCTAAAAGGAAGAAACCTCGTTTTGCCCAAAAGCTTAATAAAACGATACCTGGGCAAGACTGCTATACTCACAGGCTGAAAGAGTCAATTTCGATTGGTTGACAGCTGTTTTTCCGGAAGTACTGTTAATAAACAAATAATCAGGATCTCCATCGCTTGGGCCATACATTTGGCAGCTACCATCTAAATCGTGTTTGGGTTTTTTAGCTGGGCTTCTCTACTCGAGCTATAAAAACTTAGGCTAGAATTGATACGCTGAATTGATCGCCAACCTGCGATTTTTCAGTCGAAAAACTTACCGATATCCTTACAATTGTCCCCCGCATTTGCACATTGTTCGAAGCAAGAATCTGCAGGTTGAACCACAGCACGTGCGGGCCATTGAATGAAAAAGTTTTGACATCGCACACAGCAGCACAGAATACAGAAAATATGACCAAATCCATCGCTTTTTGTAATTTTTTTTGCGAGGCGCCATAAGCCATTGGCCATCATAGGCAGCGCCATTCGGGTCACCATGGCGCTCTGACGAATGAAGGTCGAATAACCAGGACATGTAGCGCTTATGAATTTTTAGAGTCGGAACATGTGTCAGAGATCAGCCGAGCGTATTATAAAACAGATTAAAATAATACGTAATATTTATTATGGAAAGCTTCAGGCGTTATCCTGCCTGCAAGATTTTAATGTTTGTGGTGCGACGTCATTAACACCGGTAAACTTTATTCGATACATTAAAATCCTGGCAGACAAGGAGCGATACGTTCGTATTAAAAATATCATCCTTGGCTAACTGCTGGTCTCTGACAAAATGCCTTGGGGAATGACTGGTTGCAGTCGACGTCGTTCCAGTGTGCATCAATAGGGAACCGCTTGCCCGCGGCTACCACCCAGTACTAAAAATCATTAGCTTCCATTAAAGGGACGCCGACGGCATCTCTATCGGTCGCGCTGGAAAGAAACTGCGGTCTCCGCAGGGCGCGCTATCTGCCCTGTTGGCTACTTGTCAATCCGTTATGGGGGGATCGACTCAAGCCGTCGGCAGCGCTTTAAGCCTCGCTTTAGTTATCCAGCTCCGGAGGATAACGCGCGGTATCATAACGTTCAGTGGAGTGTAGCGTCGCACAGTTATGGGCTACGAAGGGCTTCTCTTCGCATTGATACCTGGTGCACCCTTCGCTGATCTCCATCACACAAGGTATAGAACTGAACGTTCGCTGGAGTGTAGCGCAGTCAGGTCAGCGGGCAACGCATGGCTTCTCTGCGCGCTACTACGGTGTGCACTCTAACGTCTTTGCATTTGAGCACCACTCGGAGGTAAATTTCGCTTTCTGGAGTCTAATAGCTGCCCATTTCCACCTTGTGAGCTCCCTATGTTTTAGAATTTTTTTACTCGCGCGTCAGTATCAACTCGATTTAGTTTCCCTAACTCACCAGGACACAATCCTGTTTGCTGCCTGCGGGACTCATTCGGTTTGGGAAGAAGTTGTTATAGAACAGATCTTTGCCGTCGAACCATTTGAAGTCATACAACCCGGTGCCTGACTAAAACCCGACCATTTTCGGAGCTGAAATTACGCACCCGTTTGGCACCCAGCATAAACTGGGCCCCAGCCGACGATTCAGCACGCCAATGATCTACAAAGATAACTTGACGTAAAAAGTTTAAATTTTCGATAGAACTTTGTGGTACCGGAATAATCAAGACTTCTATAGAAAACTTACCGTGTAGGACCCGATTTTCCGCGGCATTATAAATTGAGACCATTTCACCACCAACTAATTTGCACCTATCGGTCGTTTGTTGCAGGTTCCCGCCGATTACGATCTCAAAAAGGATATAGTCGTAGTTAATCATAAGCAACGATACCTTATAGCACTTTTCTGTGCCACTTCCTCGTTTCCAGTCGAGTGGGCAGCCATCCTAAAACGTCAAATTATTTGGATACATTCATAAAATGCATTCAAGGAGCTACAAAAATCACATAGACAAAAAGAAAAAGCTTAAACAACGGGTTTGGCCATGAAACCTTATAAATAACAGTTGTTGTGGTCGTCGGAACTGTAGTGGTAGTTGTCTAAAAGCGCATAATACCGTAGATTCAGGTAAGTTAACGAACCGTAGTTGGCGTTGTCGGTTTTGGTGTTGTTGTTGCTTTTGTAGTAGTGGTAGTAGTAGTAGTAGTAGTTGTGGCTGTGGTTGTTGTAGTCTAAATTTCATCATTTCGTGTATTCAGATTTCAGTGTTTCCGCTTTCTGGATGTTGACTGAAAACCGCTCGCTACCTGTGTCGTCTGCGCTGGACCTGAAGGTGGTGGCCGTGGTATCTGGATTCCAGATATATGGTAAACCTTCTTTTCTATACCATTTTCTTTTTGCAGGGAACAATAGTTGGGCTCCAGGTACAAGGCAAATCATTCCATTTTCCAGAACCCGACGTTTTTGCGATATTTTCGTCCATAGAGCGGCTGGGGTCAAATTTCCAGTAACGAGTGTACATCTGAAATGGTTCAAGGCGAGGCTATCCCAATTTCTGCAGCATAGTACCTCGATACAATCCTCATCCTTATTCGTCGGCTCTTTCCGGTCCCAATTCGTGTATTTGAACGGGGTCCCGTCGAGCCATTTGAAGACTCCGTTCACCTATTCGGTCCTCTAGATTTAAACAGGTTCCATACCTTCTTAACCCCAAGCAAGTATGCCGAATTTCTCCCGAAACCATTCCTGATACCGGCTTCTAAATGTTGGAGGGATGTATCAAAGTCAGCAAAGCTTTTTCCAGCCAAATTAGAATTTGAACGATCGATATTTGGAGATCGGCATTACCTAACAACTCCCTATTGTCGCGCTCATTCGCTACAGACGCCATGCTCGCGCCAAGGGCTTTGCAAGATTTTTCGGCCGCGTCGAAGGTTAGGTTGTGAAGGAACTAAAACCCGGTTGACTGAAACTACCGAACTTCAGCGTTACCATGAAGCAACTCTTGGATCCGTCGGCGGGTTGCCAGCCCTTCTCGCAGCCGTTGTACTAAACTAGTTGGTCTCATCGCTCTCTCTCTCTCTCTCTCTCTCTCTCTCTCTCTCTCTCCCTCTATCTCTCTGTCGCTCTCTCACTCTTTCTCTCTCTTTCCGGATACTTGATTACCTCTCCTTCCGGACGAGGCGGTGCTTCCGGGTCTTGCGGCTGAACGGGATCTCCATTCGGATTATTGCCGTTCGATCCTACCGGCGCATCCGGATCCCCGGTTGGGATCGTTTGAGGTAATGGGGATGCCATACCATAAGGCAGCGGACCCTAAGCTTATCTAGGTTTTCTGGCTCGTTTCAGATACCTTTTTGCAAACCGCCGTCATCACCTCATCACAATCCGCGTCAACCCACCGATGAATCGTCCAATCGTAGGTTTTGTAGGCTACCTAAATGTAAATTTTTTGAGGTTATTAAAACGGCTGCTCGTCAATTCAAATCTCCGAATCTCTCTGCTATCTTCCCTTCTTCCTAGAATTTTTATTGGAATACCTTTATGCAATTCCCTTTGTTCTGTTTATCCTCAAAATCGTCGTGTGACCAGAAGAACATGTCGATCGCGTCCCCGGTTGGCCATTTGTAATTTCCGGATCTATCCTGTAAATTTTTTTACATGGTTTTGTTCATTTACAACTTTCTACCCTTTTCCCGCCGATCCAAAATGTGTCGTTGGCCCACGGGAAGAGCTGGACGAATTCTAGATACATTCTAGATGTCTCTTAATGGATTCTAACCTACCAATAATGTATTCATTTTCCATCGGCGACAGGATTGACGTCAAATTGCCGCCCATCTTTTTGCACTCTTCTTCGGCTGCCGTGTTGTCGAGTTTTTTGGTTAGCTGGAGCATGCAAGATTTAGTAATTGGGAATCTGCGCTTCTCACTTCTTCACTTACCACCGTTTTTAAAAAATTATCAAAGTTAATAAATTGATTTCTGATAAACCAGGTATTTGAAAAACCTGTGCTAACTATAAAAATTTATTTCCGCTCACCTTATAGCAAGCCCCACTACGCTCCCAAGGTTGCCAGCCATCGTCGCAGGCCGGGGTATGGAACTTGGGTACCTTAATAGGATACCTTTAAGGATAGAGCAACGGAGATATATCTTGTTGATGATGCGTAATATATTGTAGTAAAATTTCCTGCATTTAAAGTGCTTGCAACTTACCCTATAGTCCATCTCCCTTTCGCATACGCTTTCCACCTCACTCTCACACCACCACGGCCGCCAAAAGCCGGTTGCCTAAAAAAAGGGGGTCAGTTACGTTATTAAAGGGGGCATTATTAAATCTATTTTGCGATTTTTACGGTTAATTAATAAGCTGCTGCAGCCTTTAAAAAGACTTATTGACATTCAAGGTGATTTTTGAGCCAAACGAATCTGCAATAACTCACCAAAATCTGCATGCAGTAGAAAGCGTTCGAGTTCGCCGGACTCGTCGTCTTCTTCCAGTTTGTATAATTGAACTTATTCCCGTTTAGCCATTCATAGGCGCCTGTATGATTTCGAGTTACCTAGGAACTCTCCTAATATCTTGATTTGGTAGATACCTTGATCCCACCGAGGTAGAGCTTCGCCTTGGGGTCTCCGGTTTTATTCACGAGACCTAAAAGCGCAAATCAGTATATAAAATTTAGTTGTCCTATATTACCGGTGATGAATTTGTTTTCAGCTGCAGTGTTAATTGACGCTAAATGGCCGCCAAGCGCTGTACAGTCTTTTTCGCCACCAATTTGTTTTTGGGCGCGGAGAATCTGAACGAAATTGGGCTATTTCTCTCCCACTCTCACTCTCTCCCTCTTTCTCTGTCTCTCGCCCTCTCTCGCTGTCTCTATCTCTTACCTTATAGCACCTCGACGTCCCTTCAAAATTCACCCATCCAGCTTCACATTCTGCCGCCCAGCAATTATGAATTACAGCCAAAACGGCAAAAAGCAGCAAATATCTTGCGGCCATTTAGAGGAGTCAAAACCACAAGGCGTGAAAAGACCCTCCAGATATGGAAATTTACTCGGCATCGGCGGCTTTTGAACTTGCTCCACACGAACCGTTTTGCAAAAATGACTATGGAATAGCCGACGCAGGGCAGGGGAAAGTTCTTTCAACACCTCGCCTTAGAAACACGACGTCAGCAGTGGGGGGCTACGAAATATGAAGACTCTAAGTTTCGTTTCACTAAGATATCGAAATCTCGTCAGGCGTCAAACGTATGTTTTGCTCCTCAAACGGTTTGTGTTTTTCTGCTTTTACAAAAGCATCGGAAGCGATATGCCACGCGAAATGGGTAAACAATTCATCAATGATCTTTATCCAACAACGATTAAGTTTAAGCTCATCCGGACGGCTTCTTCGTGGTCGACTCGTCAACGAATTCCCGATGATTTGCGGTTGGTGGGACGGGGTATGTACCCTGGAATGCTAATACTAATAGGTAAGCATTAACCACATTTTCATCATATATCAGCAAGTTACGTAAGCATAGGTGCTACTTTAGCTTTCGGGTATACAAATTAGAGATGTTTTTATTCAGATACAATATGCATTCAGATATCTCGCATCTGAATAAGTCATCGGAATTGGAAAATCCTAGATGCGATATAGATAGTCGTGTCCAGGGTTGTTCACCGATGGACCCGGATCGGTAAGGATCCGGATCGGACCTGGATCCGGATCCGGATCGGACCCGCAGTCGGATCCGGATCCGGATCGGACCCGCAGTCGGATCCGGATCCAGATCCAGATCCGGATCCGCTCGGATCCGGATCCAATGCGGATCCGAGGAAAAACTGGATCGGAAGTAATATTCTCGATTGTGATGCTGATTCGGTCATGTTATTCGCAAAAATACATAGCCCATAGGCAGAACTGATCTTTGCATCTAAGAATTAGCACTTAACTCGGTTGCATGATCCATTTCCTTGGATCCGGAGCGGATCGGATCCGCCCTGGATCTGGATCCGGATCCAGATCCGGATCCAGTCCGATCCGAAAATGACCAACCCTGGTCGTGTCTGAATTGGAATCCGACCCACCGAGATACGATACTATCGGAATAACTTTTGCATATCGGATTAAGGGAAATTAGGGCGCGCGACAAAAAAATGCAAAACGAAATATCTTGTTTCGGAAACGCTTAACCTTAGGCTTTTTTATGCAGACGAGCAAGTATTCACGAGAATGACGGATTTTCTGCTTGTTCCGATATGCAAATGTTATTTCGATATTTCGTATCTGGATTAAGTCTCGCGGTTCGCAGCGGCGATAGGCGTATCCCGATTGTCCGGACTTGAATCCAGATACGATATGCAAATCGCCTTAAATGCAAAATTCTTCATATCGTATCCAAATAAAAACATCTCTAATACAAATCTAAACTTACCGTCACGTTGCTGCCACGGGGAACGCAAACTGCGTCGAAGGCCAGCAGGTTCGATTGGCTGTACCACGTCTCGCCATTGATCTTGTCGCGCATCGGCCATATAACTAGAAAATACAAACTAGAAATTAGAGATTAAAGAATATATATGATACAAAATAGAAAGTGCACTTGTCCATACAACGATACGGACCAAATGAATGTTGTTTTCCGTCGCGGCCGGTGATGTGAACGAATTTCCCTCCGTCGCGCTGATCGTTAAGCACGCGGTAGTCCTTCGGCTTTTGGCTCTAGGAGTTGTGTTTTAGTGCTCAGACCGCCGTTAAAAATTGCTACCATTGGGAAGACGTAGTCCTTCATCGCCTCCGGGACGAACATTTGCATACCAATGCTAACAAAAATTTGGTTAAGCCAATTTTTACTCACAGGCCGCAAATCTTTTGCACGGTATTTGGGCGCATGTGCAGTTGAAAGTCCAGCTTGCAGTCCTTGGCCTTGTCGTCGCAAACCTTGGGGCAAAAGGCCGACGATAAGCCTAAAAAATGAAAGACATATACGCTTTTTAACTTTTCCTTCCCAACGTTTATGTCTCTTTAAGGGGTCGAAAGTCAAGTTGAGTAAAACTAAAAAGTTGTCAGGCTGAAAACGGCTTTTTGAGTGCGCGGCGATTACATGTCGTAATACCTCGTAAGGTTCCCAAACTCTTGATCTTGGTGATTATCTGGCCAATTTTCCTGATTAAAAGGTTTATAATGTTTAGAATGAATTCGATGGGCTTTCCGGAAATAACATCAAAATTTTGATATTAAGGCGTTTTCACGTGCAAACAGGGGCAAAAGATCATGCGACGCGGTCGCGTCGGGGGCGCATCTGGCTATTTGCTAGGAACCAACGCAGGGGCTGTGGACCAGATTTCGGAGCCCCTTTAAAAAATATATTGGGAATTTTCATAGGCTCAATTTCCCCGTGCTGGAAACTCTGCTTACCGTAAGCCAAAAACAGCAAAAATAGAGAGTGAAGGGTCATTTTTCAGGTAAGTTTGCTATCCTTCTCGCTTTTATCCAGGTTTCCAGCCAGCCGTTACCATAAAAAAGCAATCAGCCGGGTGGCCTGGACCAAAAAGATGCTATTTCCGATCTAAACAATATTGCAGTGCACATAAATTTAAGTTTAAATATAATTCGAAGCGCAGACAGTATAATTTATACTTTGTTTGCAGGCCCATCGGAATCTTAAAAAGGCGCCCGATGTTACCCCTGCAAGTGAACGCTGCAAAATGGGAATCGGGCTTTGCCAGGCGAGACACTACAATAAGACTCTTACGCTATTTCTTTTACAGTAATTTGGCGGCCTTTTCAGGCGATAGGCATTTTAAAGGTTTTTATTTTCGATTTGAGGATTTCTTTTTATGAAGAGCGCGATTGTGTAAAAATACGAAATCCGCCTTCTACCACTTTTCTCTTCTATACGAACCGCTCTTTAATTATTTTATCGGTGTTGCCATAGTTCCATCCCATTTCAATATTTATTTAACCCCATTGAACCAAACAGCCGTCATTCATTTGCCCTTCGTGATATCTTCCACAAATTCCGGCGTGGTATTCGGTGTCTTCACGGTGGTCTTCTGGAATTTATTTGGATTAATCTCATTAGTTATAAAAATTTACTTTATGTAAACTTGGCACTATGAAAATAGCTTTGTAAAAATCAGGATTATTTAAGCAATTCAATTTCGCTATTTCCAAAAAAGCCGAAAGCGCCCTCCAAGAGAACGCAACGCAACGCGACAGCCGCTATCCTTCAAAATTTGGTACCACAGTGTTTCGGTGCACGCAGTTCAGCCTCATATCATCCATGCTCGTCTTATAGTACCAAGTCTCGCCATAGATCTTTTCGGGCAGCGGCAGAATATCTAGAAATTTACCTTAAATCTCGATATATCTGGAACTAACCAAATTCCTCAGTCCTGACTTCATCATCCTTGGTAATCGAGATGGTTTCGACCTGACCGCGGGTTACGCGGACCTCTTTGTAGCCCGTCGGCTTACGGCTCTAAGATTTGTGTGGGTTTATATCACATTTAAAAAGCCGAAATACCATTGGGAAAACGTATCTAATATCCTCGTCCGTAACCAGGAGATCCATTTGGAGGCTAAAAACCCATATAGCCTTTTGTGGGTTCTTTCACATTATCGGGGGACCAACCTTTTTTTATTATGATCTAACCTTCAAATATACTTAAATATATAACTTTCAAATATAAATATTGGAAGTGTTTCTAAATCGTTTTTATCATTTCTAAAGATGAAAACTTGACAAATTTCTATTGACTTGACTAATTTCTAATACCACAAATATTGATTTTTCAGCTTGCTCGAAAGACGATAGAAATGGTCGACTTTTAACCAAAATTTCGAAGTTTTTTAAAGTTATTAAATAGTTTTTCTGATTCAAATATAGTGACACATTACTAAAAACACAATTAAAACGCCTTCTATCCAATTGCTAGGCATTTTTAGACATACAAAGAATCGGTTCCCCTTTATAATGCGAAAGAGCCCCTTTTAGAAAGTTATCCCTACCGCCGACAGAATTTTTGGGCGGTCGTGGGACGCATATGGAGTTTGAAGTCGACCTTGCACTCGGCCGGGTTTCCTTTGCAGATTTCCGGGCAAAAGGCGGCGGATAGGCCTTAAAAACTTTTTTTCAGGAACCACACCAAAATTACCGTAACCAAGAAACATCAGGAATATAGCTCGAAAAGCCATCTCGAAATCGAGGGATGATGGAATGCCTTTTTCACCTGTTTTTTTTTTTCTAGTTATATTGCTTGCGAGGGCGTATTAACATAAAAACGCAATAAGGGAATTTTCTTTGGATATGTGTCCTCAATAAAATGCAATTCGGTATGGAAACAAACCTGAAGGCCAGACTGTACAGGGTGAGGCATATATATCGCTACACTCTCTCAGGCCCCCAAGAAATTAGTAAAGCGAACCGGGCTTCGATATTTTGCTGTGATATAGCCACATGGGTCCTTTCGACACTCTTAAAATCTTATAACGCAACAACCCTATAAACACTTGTTCTGAAGCAAAAACTGGGCGTCGTTAGGTGGGTCTGGCACGGAACCCCTTGGCGGCCGATTTCGATATGGTTCGGAAACATTGATTTGGACCCGAATGACCCCTAAAAACATTCGTACTACTTAGAATTTAACTAAAAAGACAATGAGGCCAACTTATTTCTTTTCATTCGGCAGAAAGTTAAAAGTTTGTCGCAGCTGGTTACAAAAACCATAGTAAAAAACATAAAAATACATTTTTTGACCTGTACTCGTTCAATTTCTTGGTTTTATCATTGGGAATTGCTCGTATCGGATGCCTAAAATGCAAAAAACAGCTTGAATCCAAATATTCAGGTGGCTTAGATCTTCTGATGAATTTTTAGTGGCCAACGAAAGGGCGGGGAGGGGTGGGTAATCACTCCTTTTTTGAATGTAGTAAAATTCCCTCGCTAGTTTCCGACTAAAAACTTTTTGGAAAACATAAATAAGATCCGATTGAACCAGAATACAAAAAAACTGCAGCAGAATTACCAATATACGGGGTTCTAGGAGCAGCGTGCCAACACACCACTTTTTCGAGAAAAGTGCTAAACTTCCTTGTAAGCTAAACCCAAATCAAAACAATTTTCAACCATTTACATTTATTTCCTGCATAAAGAGACACTAGTTCTTTGATGGGAAACATCGACTACCCCGAAAATATAATCAGTTTTCCGCCGGCAGACCAATTTGTGCGTGCTAGAGGTGTAGCGATATATATGCCTCACCCTGTATAATTCGATCTCTGCAAATTGTCTTGCAGAGGGAAGGGTAAGGGTGAAAATAAAAGGCCCACAACGAGACGTTGTTGAGTGACTTCCGGACTTTTGGATCGGACCGAGCCTGTCTTGTGCAGAATTATGCGCTGGTCCGGAATATGGTTACCGTTTTTGCGGAATGGCCAATTCTCGAAAGTTATGAGTGATTTAAGGAGGAAAAACCCAAAACCAAAAAAACCCACACAGTAATCAGATGGTAATACAAAGCCTCGGAATAGTTTTTGGAAAAAGAACATCTTACTGACATTACTCAAAAAACGTAGGAGTCGCACGTGGAAGTTTCTTAATTCGAATGGGAAGTCGAAAGAATTTGAACGTGGAAGTCGGTTTCTTAGAATGTAGAAGTCGATTTATTCGAACGTGGGTAATTGGTCTCTTAGAACGTAGAAGTCGATTTATTAGAACGCAGAAGCCTCGATTTGTCATTTTTGGAACTTTATTCCTATTTTCCTTCTTTTTCAGTGTGCGACTCTTGGTGTTCCATGATTTTAAGTTTTGTCAAGTAAGTAATTAAGTAATGCCCTTATCAAACCTGGTGTGGCGCAATTTCAGTGGTTTTCGGCGTTTAAGCAAAGTAGCCTTTAAAGTTTATTAGATTGGCAGCTTCATTTTTCCTCGCTTTCGCTCGATGCCTGAAAAGCGGGATATTATTTCTTATTGTTATGGATTGCGCTTCAAAAATTAACTTGCCGGACACGGCGGGCATATATGAGCAGCCTTCAGACGACGGTACGGCTGAAAATGAACAAAGATTTACAAAAAAACTGAACTGAAAACCTCCGGATCCGAGATGCTGCCCACGGTATTGCAAGTGTTGTTGTTGCGCGGAGAGTTTCTTCCGATACAGACGAGGGGAACCTTGGCTTTTTCCTGGACCCAGAACCATCTTCCGGCAATCCTGGACTTGTGGTACACTGCAAAAAAACTGGCTAATCCGTGTAAAGTTTACCGATGTCATTCTCACGTCCGTCATCACCGTACAGATAAGCCCGGTTCGAATTTCCGATGCGTTCCACACGGCGTTCAGAGACTTCGTCCTAAACCTATTTTTTCGCAGGGGTTCTTTCGGATTTGAAAGATTACGAGTCGCTGTTTTTGCATAACGTGTCGGCTTTTTGCTGTTTTTTAATAAGGGGCTTGATCTGCGCTTGTGCGCTCTTCTTTAAAGGGCACGTTCAGGGAAGTTTTTTTGGAAAAAAAGCAAGGATCTTAGCCGCGGCCGGGGGTCGAACCCGGGCCCCCCTCTTGGGAGGCGCGGATGGATACCAGTCAGCCACAGCTACAACCTGCGTGGGGATGAGGGGCGCCCCACGCCGCAAAGGAGGGGAATGGCTTGTCACAGCACGGGCAGGCCGTGCGCGCGGTCCCTACGTCCATAGGGTGTACACGTTGGGACGAGTACACGGCCCCTCCCTGAACGTGCGCTTTAAGAACAAAACTTACCACCGGATACGCAAGGTTGTGGTGGCTCTCGGAGCGTTGCAGTTTGGCGTCGAGCCTGAAAAGGTTTGGTTTAAAAAATTTAGAAGGGTTTATTACACATTATTCATTCCAAGGTATTTCGTTAATTCACGAACTTTGTCCCAGCGAAAAAGCGCAAAAACAGTTACCCCAGACATACTGTCCAAGCCTCCGCGTATCCCACTTCCACTCCCAAATCGAACCGGCACCTCTGCCCGTTGAATTCACTGTTTTTCGGGCACACGGAATCAGCGGTACCTAAAAAATTTTGTGTTTGTAAGCGTAATCATACCTAGCAATGCTAGGAACAGCGCAACATCACGGAAGGCCATTTGTTACTGAAATTTCGGCACTTTCAAAGCGTTCCAGCACCGACATGTTTCTTTTAAAGCTTTGAAATATGATAATATAATCTCTGTAGCGTGCAAGGAGCGCCGCTTTTGAAGTGGCGCTCAGATCTTCTGGTCAAAATTCACGAAAAATCCGTAAAATAGCCTCGAGCCGGAGAAGAGGGACTTTCGCCTCGGCAATTCACACCCGGTGACATTTGTGTAGTTCTTTGCACTTATGGATCAGGTACGTATGTATTTATTTTAACAATGTATATTCATCTTTTCGCTCTGCGTGGGCCGTGCTAGCTATTCTAAAAAAATTCTGTGATTTTTAATTGGACTATACAGGATGTCCCAAAAAAAAGCACCCCCCTCTAACGGCGCGCAGACGTATCCGATTCTCGCCGTTTAGGTATCTATCGAAAGCTCTCGACAAGGCGAGAAAACATGGATGGTTCATTTTCTTTATTATGTATTTTTATTGGCGAATTTTACCTCCAAATTCCATGAAAACGGCAGATTTACGCGAGATCCGCATGCTAATTGCGAAATTCCTATTGAAAAGATACCTGTTTTTTTAGAAAAATGCTGAATATCGGACAAATCAGAAGAAATCTTAGAAAATGAAGCCCGCTTGTTTTCTCGCCTTTTCGCGGGCTTTCGAATGGGATAAAAATCATCCTGCTCTGAGCTTACCACGGACCGCTGAGGGGGGTGCTTTTCTTTGGGACACCCAGTATATTCTTCGGATCTATTTTCTTTTTTAGGTAAAGTTAGTTTGAATACAAACCTAAGCCTAGCAATTTTCCGTAGTTTGAGAAACACAAAATAATAGGCTAATTTTAACGCAGATTACCTTTCAACGTACCTGACAAGCCGGACAACCCTCATCGGCCTTCAGTTTTCGCTTTTTTGTAGGGCTCAAAGTTGCTGTTGCTGTGGTTCGATTGGGTTTGGTTACCTCTGGGTCAGAAATATGGCCCTCGGATCCACAGGCTTGAGCTTGAAAAGGCTTCTCGCCTTCATTGAGCCCCTTTCCGATACAGACCACCGGCAGCTGCTGGGCGTTGTGCAAAACCCACCAATTACGCCCGTGCATTTGGACCTTTTTGTATACTGCAAAAGTTTGAGTTTTCACAGAAGAAGTTAGAGCAAATATAAAATAAGCTATCGAAAATAGCAATAAAAGCAATAAAAAACACATACGTGGTTTTCTATGGTAATTACAAACCTTTGCTCTTATAGCGCTTGTTCTCATCGACAATATCGATTCGGTAGAGATTTGTACCCGTAATCGGGTGGACATCACGGTGTTTTACGTGATCCTTAAATTAGGGCTTGTTCATACATATAACACGGAAGTTATACCGCTCGCCGAGCCACGTAGCGGTGCATGTGCGAGATGTCCAGGGTGGTGTTGAGACTGAAATGTCGATCTTAATTCAGTATGGTCTATGACTTTTTTTTCAGTGTAAATACTATGCTAAGTACATGCTTCAACAACCAGCCTTTTACAAAGCTTCCTCGCCTCCATGAAGCCCAACTTGACATTGAGGTCATAGATGCAGTCATCACCCCTCGACCGACCCGAAAGTGGGCAAGCGGCTTCGAGAAAGCCTTGAAGATAAGCTCTGGTTACTTTAAAGACAATCAACAGCAAATTCAGACCGTATTAAGGTGTTTTACACCTTGCGTGGTTAGGGAGCCGAAAGCAGTTAAACGCGTTTACCGATCAAGGCTATAGTAGCAAACGTCCAGACAAACATTTTGGAGCGGAGGCGAACCGTCAAATCCGAGAATAGCGCCATTCTGTCACCGCCGATACCTATGCGAATATTTTTGCAAGCATTTAGATTGATTTTTCCGAGCTGCGACCGACGGGATGGAAAATCCTGCGGGGTTGGCTGACAACGAAGTCAAATACAAAGACTTAGAAGCCATTCGTTCAAATTTGTCGCAGAGATTCTGGGCAGTTTTTCATCTGTACTTTCAAATTTATTTGAGCAGCAGGTACTGCTATGATATTAAATTATGCCAATTGAGATTATTGTGCAAGTAAAATCACTTGTCCAAGACACGACCGAGAAAAATAATTTATTCAGTTCGAGCAGCCCCAATTTAGCTGACTGGTGCCTAAACAAAATTACGTACAAAATATGGGACAGGCCTTTTTGCAGACGGGAGTATAGTTCTCCCCACAGCCCACGTCGTCGGAGCGATGTAACCAGGCCGTTGAGTTCAAATCAACGGCCCCGTATACCTAGGGCACATCGATAACGTTTGGGTCAGGTACCAAAAGGTGTCCAAAAAGTAACTCACAATTAAACATGATCCAACGGACCGTGCTTTGGAATCTCCATGGTTCACTTCAAAGTCATAGGTCTCGCCGTTGACCCAGCCCCATTTGTCATTTTCCTATCGCAGAAAATTTTCTTCCGGTGTGGTTGTTACCCTCCTGCTTCCCATCCATGCTTTATCAGCGCCCGCAGCGGCTGCAGCTTCTGAACAAACATTCACTGCTTTTCGATACCAGTACTTTTTTATCGTCGCAGGGTCGTGTCGTAAACCTACCGATAATCACCTCATTTTCCCAATAAGAATGGACGGTCGTCAGGTCAGCGTCTTGTTGCAGACAACTCTCACGCGCCGAGACAAAATCCATTGTTGCTCGGTCAGCCTAGCAATCGATTGACCTTGTCGGTTAATTTGATCTTCTATGAATTCTCTCTTGATCAGCTAGCTTTCCAAGAGGCCGCCCCAGAATTAGAGGCAGCTCGTAGGCAACGCAGCATTCCAATCGACTCAAAAATGTATGTCGGCCAGAACCTTTAAGCTTTATAATTTTGTAACGAAAGCTATCCTTAAAAAAAAATCCATTTCGAACTTGGTAGAATGGAACAAGGTAATTCTAATGATACCTAGCCCTGACAAAACTGCATGCAAAAAGGATCAAAAGCAAGGCGGCTTTTGTTGGAAATTTGTGGAAAGTGGTATTACTGAGGGTTTTTCTTGCTGTCTTTGGTATCGTTCGAACGGGAAACCTCTGTAATAACTGCTAATCGTTTTGACTATTAAGCTGGTTTGGAAAAGTTGCAAGAGCTTAAACAATTTGCCGCGGGATAACCCCGGCTCCTTTGTCCCTTCGTCCCTCCGGCGAATCGCCGTTTTAGGTTTTAGGTAGCTGCTGCAAAAAAAAATTAATTAATGGAGTCGTATGGATACAAAGGGAGATGACTTGCAAACTTTACAAAATTCGTGTGCAATGCAAACCACTTATTAGACTTTTCCTTGATGTTCTCAAATCCACAACACCTCCATTCGCTCCTTCCCAACTAACCTTGTAGCAACGTTGCGTTTCTTTGCAAGGAATCCATCCGTCTTCGCACTTTGGATCGTCGAGAACCTTGGGCTAAACTTTTTGGCGGTTAACGGCCTTTAATTTTATACCGGGCCCAACGGACGCTGGCAAAAAGCCTGGTGCACTTCGCTGCACAAAGCTGAACTCCAGTTACCACCTGGCTAAATCATCTAGGTTTGCCACGACTTTCATAGTACTAAAAACAACCCCGAAAAGCAGGCAAAACAAATCGCGCGCAGGTTCCGCGGGCCCGTAGTTCGTGTAGGTCATATTTTGCCCCGGCGAATCCAACCACCAGAAATCCACGCGGTCGTTAATTTGCATCTAATAAATGTGTGAAAAGACATCCAATGAAAAAAATCGAAAATGAACGCCAATGAAACCACACATTATAGCCGCCGATCCAGATCGCATTTACAGGGCTCCACCTCTTCTGTTTGCCTTAAACTATGAATATCATCATGTAAAAGGTTTCGCCGACAACATCTTTTGGAAGCATACCTAGTAGACCTCCCGAACTCCCCCCCCCATTTACCCCCAGACTTGTGGGGGTTGGATGGGGGTCCTAGGGGGGTTGGGCGGGGGTAGGGTGGGGGTTCGGCGGGGTGTTGAATGGGGGTTTTCAGGGGTGTTGAAAAGGGGGTTGAAAGAAGTTGAAAAAGGCTAAAATGATCTTAAAACTTAAAACCATTAACTTACACACAGCCAGAATTTTGCTCAATGGGGGTCTTTGGGGGTTGGAATGGGGGGTTCGAGTGGGGGTCCATTGGGGGTTGGCAGGGGTGTCTGTTGGGGGGTTTTGGGGGTGTTGCGATGGGGGTCAAATGGGGGTCTTTGGGGGTAAATGGTGGGGGGGTCTAATACCTAGCATCACCAACTGCTCATCCGAACTCTTTATCGAAGTCAGATGCCCTCCCAAATTGACGCACTCCTTTTCCGCTTTCCAGAAAGCTTGGCCGTCGAGCAACTGTAAAGTGTTGAACCAAAAGCGTAGCCAAATTTTGCATAGATATATACTAAGACCTCGGCTATAGTTCTCCTCGTTTATGCTGGACCAACCGCTGGTAATTCCGTATGATTGTCAACTGGTGTTTCGTTTTTTGCGTTTTTGTAAGTTTCTCGGCCCGCGAGTAGGATTTTCGCCATTTGGTTTGAATTATTGATTGCATTTCGACTGTTGCCGACAATTTAAGTGGCTTAATGCAAAAATTTTCTGCTAGAATCCTGAGAATCATTTCTTTGGCCTTACACAGCTTTTGCAGCGTGCTGCCCACTACGCACATTATTGGGTGTTAGTTTTATTGGTACGTAACCAAACTGTACCGGAACTATCACGCGGTTTTAGGGTACTTTTAGAGAGCATGCTTACCTTGTGGCAACTGTTGGTTGCAAACACCTTCTCCCAGCCATCGCCACATTCAGTGGCCGGGATATCCCTGTCTTCTACTTTGGGCTAAAAAGGATAGTAGTATTGGAGAAGAAATGCAACTTTTGCTTGTGCATTGCCTGCAGGGCATGGCGGACATTTCCCATCGCTCCGAAGACGACGTTGATTGGTTTCCTAAGGCTGCAGAAATAAGCTTTTACTAGACTTTGTATGAATTCACGGACGCATTACGTGCGCCAGCAGCCAACTCATTTGTTTAAGCCCTTTACTCACATCCATATCGGTGATCTCGCCCCAGCTCGTGCAGATTTGATGCTAAAGTTGGTAGTATGTCATAGTCATAAACATGGAAACTTACTTTTTTCTGTAATTCCAAGGCAGACCACTTCGACGGGCCCCGGAATGGTTCTGACCCAAAATTCGCGACGTTGCAGCACAACCTTTTTATATTCTAGAGAGCAATGCAGGACCAAATAACCCTACAAACCGTGCCATTGACCGTTAACGTTAATTTTCGAGACTCCGGATCGTTCATTTTTGAGTAGATGCGACGGGGCTTGGTCCTAAAATAGTTTTGACTTTGTGAGAAGGTCCTCAAAAAATTTGTTGTTGCGTCAAGTTGCGCCTGCGTCGCTAGGTGCGTACCGAATCCGTAAGCAAACCGGTAGTATCAATCTAACATACCGCTCGAATAATGATGCTGGTATCATTAGCAGGTACCGCGTATTTTGCGTCCAAACTAAAGCCAATAAGGCGATAATGACACCACGCCAAATCAAACTTTTCACATGCTTTCATTGCCTCAATGATCGGCAGCTTCACGCCGAGCGAAAATCGGCAGTACCGCCCTTCTGGTATCGATCTTCTCGGACATACCGCGGCCGAGAGCCCTATCGGAAGGCGGATAATTAAAAGCTTTTACGGTACCTGCTAAGGCGAAAAGAACCAACATTCGGCCAAACATGTCTGACACGGTGGTTGGGAAAGCGCACCCTATAAGCAGATGCTTTTTAAGAATTCCACCGGAAACAGGATCGTTTAAATTCAACGAAACAGAACGACGCTATAAAATTCGGGAGCATAGTAAAAAGCCTGCGGGAGGAAAGCATAACAACGGCCAGGCTCCCCGAAATAGACAGTTCGAGAAAATACCAAAGTGTTGGATTTTAAAGGTGTCCGAGGCTGTATTTTTCCACGAAGGTGGACAACTACAGGGTGTCCCAAAATTATCCGGACAAAGTTGCAACGCGGGTTTTTCCTATTTTTCCCTGTTTTTGCAGACCATAATTTAATTTCTATGAATCGTTGAAGTGTATTTAATAATCTTAAAAAGAAAACTGCGCGTGAATCTACCATATCTCTTCGGAATAAATTGGAGAAGTTCGACCCAAACTTATCTCTTCTTGCAAACGCTGAAAACGCACATGCTTTCCGATCCCATAAGAAACTTCAGCATGGCCGGACGAACGAAGAAACCACAGGAAGGGTTCGGAAATGACCAGATAACACTTTAGCCGGCCCAAAAACGCTAGCTTTACACCAGAAAAAAAACAGCCAGTAAAAAAGTTGAAATCGAGGTACGCGCCGCCCCGGGTGCCTTAACGGTTTTGACCTGGAGGAACCCTAAAAACGAGATCTGATTATTGTCAGAGACTAGAGGCATAAACTTTTGGCGGTAACGATGATGCACAAGCGATTTAAATGAAGCTTACTTTGATTTTTGAGGAGCTTGAGCACGAGCAAGCATAGAAACACCTTGCCCAGTAATGGGATGGAAATCGGTATTAAACGGAAAAATGATCAATAACATGTCGGAATCTTTGCGGAGTTAGGTCCGTTTTGCCAGAAAACGTCATTTCTTGTCCACAAAAACGCCTGAACACATTTTGAAAGTTTACCGCAATTTTTATGTTATTTAAGAGGCGAAAAATTTTACATGCTTTTCGCTCGATTGTGAAGCTATTTTGCGTCCTACCAGAATTTTTTTCCACGGTGCATCGAAAATGCCTCAAAAAATATTATGAAATACAATGCGGGGGCCGAAAACAGCGGAAAAATTGAAAAAAATCAGTTTTCAGTTTTGTCCGGATAATTTTGGGACACCCTGTAGCTCCTTTATCGGTTTTCCCCATTTGTACCTTATTTGCGCGTTTAGTACAGGGTGGCTGAAAAGTTCCCGCAATTTCATGATACTGTTAAATGGACTGGAAATTCCTAAAATTCTAATGAGGTAGAGAACTTATGGTAACTAATAGTTTAATTAAGACGTAAAGCACAAATTGCGAAACAAAAATCCACAATAAATCTTCACAGCTTCCCCCAGACGCTTCGATACAAATGCGCATACACCTTGAAAAGTTGCCTCCCTTGGTCGCGCCCTCTGCCACAATAACCGAGGCCTAGCACTTTCCAGGGCTGTTTTAAGGAGATTCACTGTAGTGGACCGTTTTTCTGAGCTTTTTTTGCTACAAAATGGTCGAAACCGAAAGAGCAAAAAAATTGAATCCACTGAGTTGGAGGCCCAAACTGCTGTAACGTGGGTCTGCAAGCTTTGCCATATTGAATTTGGAAATTTGGGAGCGTCGAATTTTGTTGCGAGCCGTAGCAAAATTACAGGGCCGACCATGGTACTCCGTGATACGTTTTACATGACCTCAAGCATACAACGCTATTTTTGGTTGCTTTGACGTGAAAATAGAGATGCAAACCAACGCTATTTCATGACCAGCCTGAGACAAAACAATTTATGCGAACAAAAGAGCGATAAGTATGGCGTTTATTGGAGAGGTGCCTAAACAAAAGTGCAATGGAGAGGAGACAGAGATACCTTCTCGCAGACAGGAGTATATATCTGCTCACATTGGACGTCGTCCCAACGATGCACCAGACCAAGGCGGTGGCTTCCACGGCACCAAACACCTAGATGATTAGCGTCAAAAGTATCTCGGAACTTAATTTCAAATATCGATAAATTTCCTACAATTGCACAGTCGCCGATGTAGGTGTTCACGTCGCCCGCATGCCAGATGGAAAAGTCATGGGGCTCATTATTAACCCACTGCCATTGATCGCCGTTCTAGGTCAGCGATACTTTGGCTTCTTGAAGGCTTTACCCTGCGCTTTCCCAGCCAGGCTTTGTCAGAATTGACCGCTGCCGCCGCTTCTGAAAAGATATTTCGGAAAGGTGCCGGGCATTATTTAGGGCGACATTTTGGAGCCACGTCTCCAAAATCGTGACTTAAAAACCCACCGATCACCGCCTCATTTTCCCAATAGGAATGGACCGTCGCTAAGTCAGCGCCTTGTTGCAGGCAGTGCTCCCGCGCTGTAACATAGTCCATCGCTACCGCGTTGGCCTGAAGAACGTAAAAAAGGGAAATTTATATGACAGTAAAAGATGAATTAAATCTCCATATTACAAGCAGTGGAAGCCTGAACAGGCCGCAGCCCGCGGATCCCCGAAAGGAGTGAACTTGCAAGCGAGCGTAACACAAATGTTCAAGAGGCGCCAATTTTCATGGATACACGTTTAGGAAATCCTTTGTATAGTTGCGGCTGTTCGAAAGCTACCTTATAACAACGTTGCGATTGCTTGCACGGAATCCATCCGTCCTCGCACTTTGGACCTTCGAGGACTTTAGGCTAAATATTGGTTGTTAGAATCGCGTTGGCGAATTTTATACCGGGCCCAAAGGACGTTGGCAAAATGCTTGATGTACTTCGCTGCACAAGGCCGAGCCCCAGGAGCCGTCCGCCTAAACGTAAATTTCCACACATCCGTACCACATCCGCTCACACCAAAAACAAGGCAAAAGAAACCAGCTCCAGGCTGGTTGGTCGCGTAGTTTGTGTAGGCCATTTTTTTCCCCACCGAATCAAGCCAATGGTACTCGTGGGTGCTGTTGATGTCAAACTACAAAGGTCTGATGGTGGTAATAGGCAAAAAAAGCCACATGGTAGCCGCCGATCCAGATCGCATTTCCAGGGCTCCATTGCGCCTGCTTTCCTTAAACCATAATGATGAAATGATCAATGATCAATGAAAAAAATCAAAATAATGAGGAAAAACGTTGTGATTTGTTTCTTACCGGAAGACAACAAAACTCACCCTTCATGACAAGCTGCTCGTCCGCACTATTGATCGAAGCCAGATGCCCTCCCAAATTGACGCACTCCTTTTCCGCTTTCCAGAAAGCTTGGCCGTCGAGCAACTATAAAGTAATGAATCCAATTTTAAATTAAAATGTGCACTTTAAAGATCAAGCAGGGCTTACTTTGTGGCAAGTTTTGGTTGCAAACACCTTATCCCATCCTTCCCCGCATTCATCGGCAGGGATATCCTTGTCTTCTACCTTGGGCTAAAACAGAATTTAGACAATCCTGCAATTGGAGCGACTTTATCCTTGTTATCCCCTCTAGGACATGGCGGACAGTTTCCATCGCTGCGAAGTCGACGTCGATCGGTTTCCTAGGGTTGTTAAATTACGTCTTATTTTTCACCCGGTGAATTATTACTTTTTTATTTAAGTGCAAATACCACGTTACTACATAGTGGTGCCCGCCACCCCGTCAGTGCGTAATCGATCACGATATCAAATTCGCGACCAAATGGCTGGCTCGTTGCCACAACCGCCCATGGGTTCGGTCCAGATGGTTGAAGGGAAAGCGCGTACTGTACGTGTTTTTCGCGTGTTGCGTGCGGGTGCGCGGAATAGCAACCAGTTTTTAGCTGCGCAGGCCTGCTTTCGCAATTGCGCGACGCGTCTATCGCACGCGTTGCGGTCTTCCCTCCTTTCCAAAGCTACCGGGCGTTTTATTAGGAGCCGGGCCGCTGTGTTGCTTGTCGCGGTGCGAGCTTGTTTTTAGCAAATTCACGCCCAAAAACCCAATCAAGGCCTGGTAGGTAAAACTTTGTTTTACTTCCCCCGCCAGCCGGTTCCCAAATATCTTAGCTAGAACTTTTTATTTTAGATTAATTGAAGCTCCAATTAAAACTCTTCGTATATTTTTTGATGCTCTACTGAATAGCATGGCCAAAATCCCCACAAAATAACAGAAATACCGACAAATTTGAGGCGCACGACGCGGGGGGGGGGGTAAAGTAAAGTCCAGCACAACATCACTTGCCCATCCCCTTAAACCAGTCACCCACATCCATATCGGTGATCTCGCCCCAGCTGGCGCAAATTTGATGCTTAATTTGGTGATGTATCGTGGTTTAAAGCATGGCAACCTACTTTCTCTGCAATTCCGCGACAGACGACTTCAACGGGCCCCGGGATCGTTCGAACCCAAAAGTCACGATGTTGCACGACGACCTTTTTGTATTCTGGAAAGGAATTACGCATTTAATCGCGATACTAACCATGCCATTGGCCGTTAACGTTAATTTCCGATACCCCGGATCGTTCATTTTTGAGTAGATGGGCTGGCGCTTGATCCTAAACGAATTTTAGCATCAGGACCGAACGCAACGCTATCGATTTTGTCAACGACCTTGGCGAGACGGATTTTGCCGCCGCGTTTAGATGCGTACGGGATCCAAGATGAAAAAAAAACTGATGGTATACATTTAACCCACCGCTCGTATGATAATGCTCGTATCGTTGGCCGGCACGGCGTATTTGGCGTCCAGACTGCAAAAAATGTTTCAATATAGATAAGTAAATAGTATAATGCAATGAAGCATTAATAACAAGCCTATCCGACAGATACTACCATCATTCCAAACTAACTTTTCGCAGGCTGTCATCGCCTCAATGATCGGCAGCTTCACCCCGAGCGAAAATCGGCAGTACCGCCCTTCTGGTATCGATCTTCTCGGGCATACCGCGGCCGAAAGCCCTATTCCGGCACCATTACAAATAAAAACTTTTGCCATACCTGCTAAAGCGAAAATAACCAACGCCCGGCCCAGCATCTTTGACGCGGCCGACGGGAAAATCGAGCTTTATAAACAACATCTATTTTATCGCTTCCGCCGGAAGGTGGCCGCTTATGATTCAGGAGGCCTGATTCTTGAGAATTCAAAAGGCCGCTGGCGGTCTCGAAAAGCAAAATACGTTGGAATATTGAATAAGAGGTGAAACTGCTAAACGTGATGCGAACCAGACTTAACGTACGACTTCGATTTTTGAACACCACATGAGGATTTTGATAAAATGTATAGGATTTCGAGAAAAGTTCTAAGAAATGGCTCAAATTTCAAGGGACCGTATCTCAGCCATCCTGTTTCCGATTTGGACGATCTCAACATCCATCGATATCTACTCATCGAGATCTATCGATTGGCGCTTAAGGTATCGCATGCAAATTGCTCTATGCAGAGATAACTTGCAAAAACACTTTTCCCAAATTTCGCATAAAACTTCTCGGGCCTGTATCTCGACCCCCGTTCATTTTCGTGGCCCAGGACCTTCCTCCGGAAGAAATTTAGGTCGAGGGCTACCAAATGACATATCGCATGTCAAAAATGATGCTATCTGCGATTTTAGGCAGCTCATCGAAATCTCGGCGACAGGACTTACCTTCCAACCTGATAATAAGCAAGGCTTAAAGCGGAAATTTTAGGACAACAAAAGCCAAAAATTACTTTAATCTGGGATCTTTAGAAAACAGCTTGGTCCTTGCTGCTAGCCGCCAACGAGGCTATACAATATTTTTTTATCGCTAAGGTTTGGGTGTTTCGACAAGCTTTGAAGTCAAGTATCATACGTTTTCCAAACCAAATATTTTTAGATGTTCCCGAAACGAGCCGACGACTGCCTGCGATACCGCAGGATCCAAATGCAACCACAACGACATTGTCACCATTTGCAAGAACGTAAAATATTGAGGAGCTCTGCTGTGCATACATAGTCACGTTCCTTGTAATGCGATCTTCTTATGGTTTCACCGAGGAATGTAACAAGCTTAGGCGTCCACAAGATGAAGTTTAAATTTCTAATTGACGAGATAAACGTTTTCCTTTTGGATGTGTAGGCACTTCAAAAAATTAGCGTGATTATTTCGATGTTTGAAAATATCAATCCTCTACTTACAGGAAAACACGGTTTTGATCTTGACTCGCTTCTTGATCCGAAAGTCAAGTTTTCTTTTTGCAAACAGCGACCAGCGTCGCATTGCATCCAATCTCCTCCCAGCGATGAGAGTCAGGGCTTCCCTGTTCTAGCGTCGGAAACACCTAAAAAAGCTTGGTTGATCGGTTCCATTATCAACCTGAGAATGAAGCGTTGGCCCGTTTACCAGGGAACCACCCAAAAAGAAAAAAATCCCGTTATTTGACCAAAATTACACCAGATTCGCGATCAGCGAAAAATTCCACGGAAGATGGTCCAGATTCCCGCTGACAACGGTTTCGCCATTTTGCGTTTCCCATTCGATCCTACCAGCAGGCAATCCCCGACAGCGATCGGCAATGGACTGGAAGCCCTCCAGTAGGCCACGTTCAACTCAGTCGCATCGGCCCAGGTATACTCCAGAGTTATCGGATCCTGAAACCAAGAATTCCGGTGATAGGTTCGGAAAACCCCACCCGCTTGGCGCCAAGCCAGATCCCAGCTCCTTGATTGGCCAGAGCTCCGGCGACATCTGCAACCTGTGTATTAAAAGCCAAGGTTGTCCCAAGCATACCAATTATCACTTCATTTTCTTCGTAGCTCGTTGCCGTGGCCACCATCGAACCCCAACCTCGGCAGATTTGTTCTGCAGCTGCATAAGTCCCCAGCGTCGCTGTGGACTAGCAAAGTGCACATTAGAAAATTGCCAAAGCACCCCGAAACTTTGGCGAGCTTTTGCTAACATCAGCCGAAATAGAAAATAAAAAATCTAAAATACCGTGACATACCCGATAGCACATCTGGGTATATTCCGATGGGGTCCAGCCGTCTTCACATACTGGCATCACCAAGGCGGTGGGTGGCTTGTTTTCCTTCCGACTTCCCGTAATCATTTCTCGCTTGCAGATTGGGGTAGTTGATGTCGTCGCATTGCGCTTCATATATAGTGCTGCCGGTTGGCTATGATTTCCAATTTCTTTATTTTAAAAGGGAAGGGGGGCTAAAACAAAACCCTTGACGGGGGGTGGAAATGTCTCTTTTTTCTCCCCTGGGCCCTCCCTCCCCCCTATTAAAAAACCCCCCCCCCCGGGGGCGGCGGTTATGTAAATTTTCACTCTTCGCTAGAGCACAAAAAAACACCAGAAAAACGTCCTGGCACGCACCGAAAGTGAAAGACAGTAGTAGCCTTTATTGAAAGGCGCACCATTGTCGCCCTCGTGTCCATCCACCCAATGATAGCGCGTGCGTGTTCGGTCGTTGCTAGCGTACTTTAAATTGTCGTTTTTTATCTAATGAGGAATTACATACCGATAACCCGCCAATCCACATGCTAACGACCCCAGGCTCCGGGAAGTAATCTGATTCCCCCTTAAATCTGAACGGGAAAACCCAACCTTTGAGAAAATACTCCTGTTCATCGCCGTCGGCAGAGAGCGAAATCAAATAGCTGTTCTCGTCCCTACATGCCAGCATGGCCGCGTAAAATGTCATTTTGTCCAGAATCTAAAAGCTGGCTAAAAGGCCCTTAAAGTCACAGTTCGAATTATTGTTGCAGGAACTGGCATCTTTTGAATCTTCTTAGGTCTTTTTGAATAGGCATTTGAAGAATTTTAAATAGATCATTTCAAATCTCAAACCACCTTGTAACAACGCGAAAATTGAGGCGCTGAGATCCAACCATCTTCACACTCATTTTCCTCGGTCATATCGCCCTGCGAGGTGGGCAGGCCCCAGATGCTGACATCACCAACGGGATTCTGAATTTTTCGTGAGAAACGAAATTGATCGAAAGCTCGCTTATGCTAGCCCGCTCCGAAGCAACCCTATGCACACCCGTCTCTGTGCTCCCGACCCCGTACCCGTGAAATGCCCCTCTTTGTGCGTCTTTTCTCTTTCATCGACTCTTTCCAGGTGCTCACCGCCGTTTTAGACAAATGGAGTTTGTAATAAATATATTTGTCCTATTTTTCCGCTCGATCAATGTCTATATGTCCATATCTCCGGGTTTCTCGAGCCGCCGTTTTCTATCGATGTTATCCGTTTTTCAATGGGAACCGAACGAGAGAAAAAAACGATGATTCGGTCCTACCTTCTTACAAACCGTCGCATGGTTTTCTGCACGACAATCCACCCCTGACATTCGATGCGCACCGTTTCCACATTCCGGTGAATAGCCAAGAGCACAGAGCTAAAGAATGTTTTCTTTTTTCTTGATATCTATCTCACAGCAAGACATTCGCCGTAGGGGCGCTCCTCGAGTTTTTGCCAGAATCCTTGCGTAAATGGTTCGTCGTTATGCCAGGCGTATTTTCCGCCGGTTATTACCTGAATTACGGGTATACAATTTTGTCGGTTCTACTTCCAATCAGGTATTGTAGTAAAAGCTACTTACCGCCCGCCCGCCAAGCCAAAGCCCAAGGTACGTCTCATCTTTATTTGCCAATTCTAGAAAAGGATATCAGGTCCCATCCAGAAAACCCTACTAATCAGGTACTCCTTTTCATGGGACGACTCTAGTGTGGCGATTATCGAATCTTCTTCTCGGCATGCTGCCATTGAATCTTCCCAATTTTGTGCTCCACCCAGAACCTTAAATGATTATAATGAGTACGTTTCCGAAAATATGGTACCCACTTTGTAGCACTTTTGCGTAAAGCCCCACGGTATCCATCCATCCTCACATTGAGGAGCCACCGGCAAAGTTTCCTATGTTTTTAAAGTTTGAAGCTGACAGATCTGCAACTAGTACCAATTTCCGCTTGCAAACGCCGAAATAGCTCTCATCGCATTGGGCTTGAATAAATTTGCCGTCTGCCTGGATATTGTTGGCATACTTTAGAGTTCAGGAAACCCACCGGTCGTGCGGTACAGTAATTCCTTTGTTCCTTGGGGTCGGTGTCCCAATTCCGGTATTCCAACGGTTTTTCGTCCAACCAGTGTACGTCGAACTCATCGCGATTTAAGGACATCTAAAAATTGGTGTCTACCGAACGAAAATCGTGTTACCATTAGCCCGCCAATCCACATAGTACTCGTCAATCCTTTTAGGATTAGCCATTCTACAAAGGAATGCTTTGGGATACAAATCAATGTTCCTGACGGGCCTAGCTCATTCGAAATTTGTAAAAGCAACCGCTATCGTTCCGCAAAAAAAGGAAACCAACAGCGCGCTCAGTTTTTCAAGCGCTTCCGAATGGGCTAGGTCACGTCGCGAAACCCCATTCCTAAAATCGAGACATAAAAACGTCTCCTTGTCTCCCTGAAAAAAAAATTTTTTTTAAAAAGAGGGGAAGTTTTTAAAGGTTGTTTAATTTTTTTTTTTGGGGGTTTTTTTTTTTTTTTTTTGTTTTTAAAAAAATTAAAAATTGGAAAAAATTTTTTAAAAAAATTTTGAGGAGTAAAAAAAAAAAAAAAATAAAATATAAATTTTTTAAAATAAAAAAAAAAAAAAAAAAAAGAAAAAAATAAAAAAAATAAAAATTATTTAAAAAAAATAATTTTAAAAGAAATAAGGTGGTTATTTTTTCAGGATGAATTAGGTATAATCATACGAGCATGAGTATGAGCAACTCAAAAAGTGTTAATATTACCCCCAATCAACGCATTTTCCGCCTCACTCTGTATCGACGTCAACAGGCCGCCCGAATTGGCGCAATTTAATTCGACGTCCCAGTAGGTGCTCAAGTTGATCAGCTGATTGTTGGTAAGCGAGTTTTCGTAAGGTATGATTAAAACCTTATAGCAATCCCCGCCGATCACCGACCAGCCGGGGCAATCCGGTGCCGGGGTACTTAGTTCAGTAGTAGCGGCTTCGGTGGTGGTCTCTTTCGCCTAAAACCGGTTCAGAATCGTATAATATAGAAAACCGCTAGCTAGACGTAGTGTATTTCTAGCTACCCTTAAATACCTTTCGTATCGGTAGCGCTGGCCTCGCATAAACATTGTACCTGTATCGTTAGCGTAAATGGCTCATCACACATCCCAAAGTCCACACCAGCTTCCGCTGCCTTTTCCTCACCAATCGAAGTATTTACATGCACAAAATCTGGTTCCGCATCGCCCGGTCCGTAATACCGACACGAGAAATCTAACCGATAGTGTTTTTCTAAAACATTTAGCAAACCGAGCCCTAAACACTCCTCTCCTTTTCGGGCGCAAATCGCAAAGCACGTCCTATTGGGGGTCGCTCTCACGCCTTGTCCTCGAATAAAGAAATGTTCCTCGCAAATAGCTACGGTACCAAATACAAGGGTTACGGTAACCAACGCCAACATTTAAAATTTGAGTAGCACGTCTCCGGACAAAGCAAAACTTTGAAAATTTCCACTTTTTGGTATCCATAGCGCATAATGGAAGCGCGCAACGCTTTCGCGTTTTTCCGGGGAGATGAATAGCCGCATCTTTCAGCGGCAGAAAAATGTTGCGTAGCAAAATCTAGCGGGACGTATTGCAAACTCTCGAATGCATTGGTTCTGATGTTCAAATACATTTTAGCCTCCTTCAGTGCCCTCGAATTCAGAAGGCTGCTTTAATCGGAAAAATAGTTTTGCTGGATATTTGAGAATTAGGGCCAACTGATTCGTGATCACCGATTCTAAAAGACAGTTCAAAGACCAGGTGCAGGAAAAATCCACTGTGTGAAGGGTCATCTGTTGGAAATACAGGGTCACCCGAAAAAAGAACCATCCGGCATTTGGGCGTTCCATCCAATCGGCCCCAAAATTCGACAGGAGGTGCATGAGACGTTAAATAACAACAATCCCGACTTATGGCCCCCGTGGCTACCGTCGCTCTAAAGTTAGAACCAAAATACCATTTTTTTCCGCAACACTAAACAATTGTTTCGGGTATCTTTATTACTTTGCGTCAATTGCATCCCTGTCTCTGTCTCGGCCGCGCATTCCTAATTGCGCGTAAAATTTTGGATAACTTTGTGTTGTAAAAATCGCATAAATCGCATTGATTTGAGTCCGGAAAAAATTTGTGAGGTTATGAATCCCTACCAAATAACTTTCTCTTAATATTTAGGCATCTAATCCCACGGAACCCCTATGAAAAATAGAAAATAAAGTTTATTGTCGCTATAACTTTTTAACGACGGTAGCCATGAGGCTATGAGTTGGCTATGGCTATGAGTCTCATACACCTCTCGTCCAATTTTTGGACCGATCGGATGGGTCGTTTTTCGAACATCCTGTATGTAGGTGTTTACATGGCCATACATTGGTCAAGTCCCAAGGCAAGTTTTCAAGATATTTTTTAACTTCCACCACATTACCGCTGGGGTATGATACATGTTTTTGGCGCCACCGATGTTGTTCGAATTCCAATTGATTTGCTTCAAAATCAAATTTATTTCAATTTGTAATAGCTTTATGCAATGTCATTCGGAGCTTTTTTACATACAGCCGCATCCCAGTAGCCCCCGCAGCTCCAATCATTCCACCGCCCATCGTATGGTAGACTGAAATCAATGAAATCACATTAAAAACACGAATAAATGTAGCAAGGAACCGCCAATTTCTACTATGCGCTTACCCGTCGGCTGCAGTTACGAGAGAGTGCAAATACATCTGGAATTCAGGATTTTGTGTTACTGTACTGTTGATACCCCCGCACACGGCTCGCTTTTAGGACTATTGGGCTCGCCAATGGACCAATCCGCATAATCCCACGTTGAGCCGTCATCCCAGTAAAATATCCTGTAGTTGTGGAGATCCTGGAAATATCGGATCGTTTCCGGGTGCAGTTTTAAAATGTTACCAGGGTTGAAAAACCGCTTCGCGGCTTTTCAAACCTGGCTCAGTCTAGGAACTATGAAAGTGTCGACTTTGCATAATTCTTGCCAAACCCGATCACCAAAAAAAATAAAAACCGCGACTGCAACTTTCGGTCTTCAGAATAGCCGGGCCCGACAAGCTCAAATTAACAAAACATCGGAAAAGAGGTTTGCGACCCTTCTAAACACGATGCATAAATTTTTAAAAACAGAAAACGCCTCAGAAAAAAGTAGAATTTCGTAAATATTTTAACATGCAAGTTTGCGCATCTTGATTTATTTTTCGCCGCTTTTGATATTGCGATCGGATTGCCAGCAGAATAATTGACCTAGATGCAAATTTTCATAAAATTGGATGTAGCGCGTTCGTACAACAAGGGCTTTCCCGACCGGACATAATTTTGACCGCTACTGTATGTTAAAGTTGACGCGTTTTCGCGTCCAACAGGTGGTAACAAGCTGCAGCGCGGTCGCGTTGCGGTCCTATCTGGATTTTACAGAAACCCACGCCTAGAGGGGCAGTTCCGAATTCTGCGTCCCTTTAAATGGACGGCCAAGGCATCGCTGAAATTTAGTTATTCAAACGTCGTTTCGCCAGAATTTCGCTGCGCCAAAGGACATTCCGACAAAACAGCTAATACCAAGAAACAGCTAATATCTTAAAACTATGTAAAATGCTATAAAAATGGTTTATATTTTGTTATAGGCCAACATTAAGCTACGTCCCTGTCTGTGGTCATTGAAATTTCGTAGTATCTATGAAAAGATCCATGGGATTGTACCTTTTGCGCGCCTAGCATCCCAATGAGGTCTTTGTCCGGTAGTTCGCCATTTGGGTAATATTCCTTCAACATCAGATCTGAAAGCGCGAAGGTTTGTTCCGTATTTTTTGAAATGAATCTTGCAGTAACGATTTATGGGATTTACGGTCTCACCTCGTATAAACGCATTCTCCTCATCCGAATGTACCGACGCCACGTTTGCGTTCATCGCCGTGCAATTGGCCCTCGCATCAACTGTCGTGATTGCCCCGAAAGCCTAGGTATTGTTTTTTGTGCTAATTAAAGGGGCTACGAAATGCCAAAAATTGAGTGACGGCCCGAAAATGGGAGCCCTGTACGTGGGAGGCCTCTGTACATCTAGGGGCGCGGGAAGCTCGCAAATTTGAAATGGCCAGTTGTCACCTCAAAATCACGTTCTCGGCTGTTTCTGGGCCAAATTTGATGATTAAAACACCAAAACTATTTAAAATTTAGTGAGGATTTCAAAAATGGGCTCAGAATGCGCGAATTATAGTGTGTTCACAAAGAAACCGGGTAAAAACAACTTCGCGCAAAAATCGAAAAAGTGAGGGCTCTCGTCCCGCAGCGCCCGCTGGCAATTTGCCAGAAATCAAAGAGGCCTCCCAAAAGGGCTTTGATTTGGGAGTTCGGAGCCCTTTTGAATGCAGTAGAACCTTGTAGCAGCTGTTTGTAGTGGCCAGGAGAGTCCAACCGGGATCGCAAGGTAGCTAAATTATAGGTTTAGAAAATTTTAAAACTTGAAGTATCTAAACTACACATTTCAAGCTGAAAGTTTTAGCATCTAAAGTTTTCAAAAATTCCTACCTTAAGCTCGATCGTGAATGGCTCGTCGCAGTTCCCAAAATCTATCCCCTCAGCTTCCGCTTTTTCGCCACCGTACGTAGTATTCACATGTACAAACTCGGGCTCCGAGTCGTCTGGCCCATAGAACTCACAAGGATAATCTAAAAAACGTATTAAAAGCATTTAAGACCTACCTAGTGTCGGACAGCACCCCAAGAAACGCACCCCGGGTGCCTTTGAAACGCACCCCAGGGGGTCTTTGAAACGCACCCGGGGTGCCTTTCAAACGCACCCCGGGGTCTGTTTGAAAGGCACCCCGGGGTGCGTTTCAAAGGCACCCCACTCCCTCGGGGGTGCATTAATCGTGTCCCCGGGTGCCTTTGAACGCACCCCGGGGTGCGTTTCGGGGTGCGTTTGGGGGTGTGTTTTGGGGTGCGTTTCGGCCCCACAGGTGGCAAAGAATTGCAAGGAAAGCCGATAAATAAAAGTATATTTGGCTTAGGAATATTACAGATATGTTTTACTATGTTTTCTATACAGAATTGATGCCATCCGAAGGCTCCGCTTTCAGTAATATATATTTGATACGCTGTGTTAGAGTTTTAAACGAATTATGGTACGATTTTCATATTTTATTGGGGCTTCAAATGTTTTTGCTTATACGTTTGGCAAAAAGTATAAAAATTGTTTACGGGATTTCCAAAAATCGAACAGATAACAATTAATCGGATGTAACTGGAGTATGAAATACGGCAAGAATAGCATGTTTATAAGGAGGGAAGGGTTTTATAAGGGTTTATCGGGTTTTATAAGGGTTTCTGCAATATTTCTATTCCAAATATACTTTTATTTATCGGCTTTCCTTGCAATTCTTTGCCACCTGTGGGGCCGAAACGCACCCCAAAACACACCCCCAAACGCACCCCGAAACGCACCCCGGGGTGCGTTCAAAGGCACCCGGGGACACGATTAATGCACCCCCGAGGGAGTGGGGTGCCTTTGAAACGCACCCCGGGGTGCCTTTCAAACAGACCCCGGGGTGCGTTTGAAAGGCACCCCGGGTGCGTTTCAAAGACCCCCCTGGGGTGCGTTTCAAAGGCACCCGGGGTGCGTTTCTTGGGGTGCTGTCCGACACTAGACCTACCCAGTCCTATACAGTTCGCCCCCCGATAAGCGCAAAGCGCAAAGCAGGTCCTGTTTGGCGTCCCTTTCACGCCAAGACTTCGAATAAAATAGTGTTCCTGGCTAATGGCTACGGTAGCAAATAGGAGTGCGCCGGGGATTCGCCACAACATCTATTTAGTATGTGGCATGCATGGCGATGAGCGGGCACAAGTTTTTCAGTTTTAGACGTAGAGACGCACGTCCCTGGTCAACGTTGCAACAAAAAATCCGGACTTTTTGTAACCATGGTGTTATTCCGGTTTTGATTAATGGTTGTCGGGTTTTAACGGGCACTTTTCGCATTGCGGAACGTCGCAAGCTCTTTCTCTAATTTTTCAAAAATAGACAATTGGCGTTCAGATGTGACTGTGGCGTGACGTTGAAGTCGTTACAAGGGTGCGTAGACCTGAGAGAACGCCTTCGCGAACTCATATAAACGCGTCGTAAATTTGAATTGGATTGAATTTGGTGATGTTCCATTTTCCTTAAAACGTGTTTATTAAAAATTGGATATTGAAGCGCCACAGAAAGAGTCTATCGTCGTTGCGGTTTCACGAATCGTGAAAATTTCACTAAAGCAATATCGCGTCTTTTTTGCAAATTGCAGCTTCGAAATATATGTCACAGGCTATGTCGTTCCATGTGCCCGTTGGATAGCGACACCTCCTGAAAACATGAGGTAAAAAAGACGGGAATAGAGTAGTCTTTCCGGATTCAAAACTCCAAACACGGGAGGAAAGAGACACAAAAAAAAAAAAAAAAAAAAAAAAAACCCCCAACCCCCAATCTTCCGCGAAATTAGAGAAAAAGAAAAAAAAAAATTAAAATTAAATTTTTTTTTTTTTTTTGTTTTTTTTGAAGAAAAAAAAAAAAGAGAAATTGGGGGAGGTTTTTTTTATTTTAAAAAATTTTTATAAAAAAAAAAAAAAAAAAAAAAAAAAATATTTAAAAGTTTTTTTCAAAATAAAAAAAAAAAAATTAAATAAAAAAAAAATTATAAAAGGGGAGAGGGGGGGGAAAAAAAAGAAAAACAAAAAAAAGAAAAAAAATAAAAGATAAAGGAAAAAAGGATTTTTAATAAAAAATAAAAAATTTTTTATTAAATAAAGGGAGGAGTTTAAAAATGGGGTGATTTATAGTTGGGTTTTTTTTTTTTTGGGTTTATTTCTGGTTTTTTTGATTTGGGGAAGAGGGGGGTGGGTAAGTCGGGTGGTTTTTTTTTTTTGGTTATGTGGCATGTCACGGGCCGGTACTTACCCGGGGCCATACGACCGGCTGGGACAGTAGGAATACATCTGAAAAAGGATATGCAATGTTCTGCATTTTCGATGGCATCAGGTCCAATGATTTTTATCGCCAAAAAGCTACCAGTACGCATGCTTCGAAGCCATAGAGCGAATCGCCATTTGGTTCTCCAGGCGACCAATCCGTGTAGTCCCAAGCCGATCCGTCGTCCCAGAAGAAGGCCATGTTTCCGGTAGGCTCCTAGGACCCCTCATTTTAACCTCAAATTTCAATGAGAAAACTTTAACCGCAACGTTAGATAGTTTCTTACAACAATAACAACTGACCCGTTCAGCGCCCAGCAGGGTCACTAGGCCTTGGGGAGGAATGAAAACAGTATCGAGGTCAAATTGTCGTAGTGCAATTTCTAAACACAAAAAAATATATTCATAAAATTTTATGGATCAAATCTGGCATGTTAAACATTTTAGTTCCGAGACCAACATACGCTTCACAAGGTCCGCTTCTTGCCTTGAATGAACTGAAGCCAGTGTTGAGTTCACGTCATTGCAGAGCGATTTTGCGTCGTAATAGGTTACATTTGTAAATGCCTATGGGAAATGCTTGGTGATGGCGTCGTAAAAACACCTTATAGCAATGATCCGAAAGATTCGACTTTATCCAGTCTTTCTCGCAGATGAACTAGAGATTAGCGGTATGGACAACCTGCGAGAAAATACCTCAAGTCGCTCGATAAAAGGACTTCCGCATTGGGCAATTATTATACCTTCATCTTCAAAATTTTGTTTCCCGAGCGAGCTATTAAGATAGAGAAAATCAGGGTCTCCATCTTGGATGCCGTAGATACGGCCGGTGGGGTCTAACGTACTCTAAATAAGTCTTAATAACCACTCACCTATTCCTTTACAAGCATCTCCTCTTTTGACACATTGCGCAAAATAATTACCAAGCGGTTTTGTACTGGTAGTTGAGGTTTGGATAAAATAATAAGTATTGAAAGCCGGAATTTTAGGCGTGGCATCTGAAGGAGCAATCAGCGGCGGCAAAGTGATAATAGCATGGATTGGCAACGAAAAGTAGAGCAGGATTACGGTACCTCTCACAGCCATTAGGATCTTGGGAAATGCCTGCCAGGCGGAAGAAAACTTTGAAAATTATGCTTTCTGGTAGCCATGGCCGGGGCGGTGGAAAAGGCTTTCACGCCCTCGCCGTACGCGGTTTAGGCGGAAATAAAAAATAGCTTTCTCAGCACGACGTTGAATTTTGAGGTTCAAAAAAGTCTGAAACACCCGACTCTCATTGGAAGCTAGAACTCTGTTTCTCAGAAGGATACTATTTTTAGTGTCCACGGGGTTTCAAAATGGGATCAGGCCTATTTTGCGCGGGATTTTTTGGTGCTGATTCAAACCTCGTTTTTAGGATCTGCGAAGCGACCGAAATCAGAAAGTTCTGACGGTTCAAACGGCGAAAACGGCAAAAGTTGGCTATTTTGGGCATTTTTCAACCCTGAAGCTTCGTATCCTACCTTATATAATTTTGGCGCGTATGTGTGTGTGTGTGTGTGTGGATGTCACTTTCGAGGCCCTATTTGAGGACCTTCCCGTGCATAAAATGCCCTAATTCTCCGTCACCCGGGGGAATCGACCCTTCTGTTTCCAATGGCGTTTTCAGAATTTCGATAAAATACAAGTTTACAAAGTTAAAGCCGGTTTTATTCATTTTTGGGGGTTCCTGAGGGCTAATTTGCATAATACGAAAAAATACAAATTTCCTCATTCCTGCCAGTTGCACTCGCGAGTTTGGCTGCCTCATTGGAGCTGCCTCTCATTGCCTTTGCTCCCCTTTCCCGGCAATCACCTAGGGGCATACAAGGGGTGTTGCGCGCGCTCCAAAGCGTTTCATGGTATAGTGGTTAGAGCGTCAGCCTGCCAATCTTGCTATCGGGAGTTCGATTCCCGGCTATCGTACTTCTTTTGCTTTATGCTCGGAATGCAT